TTACAGTAACCAGTTGGATGTTACCGCAAGTACAGACTAGCTGTAAGAGTAACAGGAACCAGTGGGACGTTACCGCTAGTACAGACCAGCTGTAAGAGTTATAGGAACCAGTGGGATGTTACCGCAAGTACAGACTAGCTGTAAGAGTTACAGCAACCAGTGGGACGTTACAGCTAGTACAGACTAGTTGTACGTTACAGCAACCAGTGAGATCTTACCGCAAGTACAGACTAGCTGTTAGAGTTACAGGAACCAGTGGGATGTTACCGCTAGAACAGACTAGTTGTACGAGTTACAGGAACCAGTGGGACTGTACCGCAAGTAGAGACTAGTTGTACGAGTTACAGTAACCAGTTGAATGTTACCGTTAGTACAAACTAGTTGTATGAGTTACAGGAACCAGTGAGTTTTTACCGCTAGTACAGACTTGTTGTGAAAGTAACAGGAGCCAGCGGGATGTTACCGCTAGTACATATTAGCTGTACGAGTTACAGGAACCAGTTGTATGTTACCGCTAAAACAGACTAGTTGTACGAGTTACAGGAATCAGTTGGAAGTTACTGCCAGTACAGACTAGCTGTAAGAGTAACAGCAACCAGTGGGATGTTACCGCTAGTACAGACTAGTTGTACAAGTTACAGGAACCAGAGGGATGTTACCGCTATAACAGACTAGTTGTACAAGTTACAGGAACCATTGGGATGTTACCGCAAGTACAGACTAGCTGTAAGAGTTACAGGAACCAGTGGGATGTTACCGCTACAACAGACTAGTTGTACGAGTTACAGTAACCGGTTGGATGTTACCGCAAGTACAGACTAGCTGTAAGAGTTACTGGAACCTGTGGGATGTCACCGCTAGTACAGACTAGTTGTTAGAGTAACAGGAACCAGTGGGACATTACCGCTAGTACAGACTAGTTGTACGAGTTACAGGAATCAGTTGGAAGTTGCTGCCAGTACAGACTAGCTGTAAGAGTAACAGGAACCAGTGGGATGATACCGCTAGAACAGACTAGTTGTACGAGATACAGTAACCAGTTGGATGTTACCGCAAGTACAGACTAGCTGTAAGAGTAACAGGAACCAGTGGGATGTTACCGCTAGAACAGACTAGTTGTACGAGTTACAGTAACCAGTTGGATGTTACCGCTAGTACAGACTAGCTGTAAGAGTAACAGGAACCCGTTGGATGTTACCGTTAGTACAAACTAGTTGTATGAGTTACAGGAACCAGTGTGTTTTTACCGCTAGTACAGACTTGTGAAAGTAACAGGAACCAGCGGGATGTTACCGCTAGTACAGACTAGCTGTAAGAGTAAAAGGAACCCGTTGGATGTTACCGTTAGTACAAACTAGTTGTATGAGTTACAGGAACCAGTGTGTTTTTACCGCTAGTACAGACTTGTGAAAGTAACAGGAACCAGCGGGATGTTACCGCTAGTACAGACTAGCTGTAAGAGTAACAGGAACCATTGGGCCGTTACCGCTGGTACAGACTAGCTGTTAGAGTTACAGGAACCAGTGGGATGTTACCGCTAGTACAGACTAGCTGTAAGAGTTACAGTAATCAGTTGGATGTTACCGCAAGTACAGACTAGCTGTAAGAGTTACAGTAACCAGTTGGATGTTACCGCAAGTACAGACTAGCTGTAAGAGTAACAGGAACCATTGGGACGTTACCGCTAGTACAGACTAGCTGTTAGAGTTACAGGAACCAGTGGGATGTTACCGCTAGTACAGATTAGCTGTACGAGTTACAGGAACCAGTGGGACTGTACCGCAAGTACAGACTAGTTGTAAGAGTTACAGCAACCCGTTGAATGTTACCGTTAGTACAAACTAGTTGTATGAGTTACAGGAACCAGTGTGTTTTTACCGCTAGTACGGACTTGTGAAAGTAACAGGAACCAGCGGGATGTTACCGCTAGTACATATTAGCTGTACGAGTTACAGGAACCAGCGTGATGTTACCGCTAGTACAGATTAGCTGTACGAGTTACAGGAACCAGTTGGGTGTTACCGCTAAAACAGACTAGTTGTACGAGTTACAGGAATCAGTTGGAAGTTACTGCTAGTGCAGACTAGTTGTTAGAGTAACAGGAACCAGTGGGACATTACCGCTAGTACAGACTAGTTGTACGTTACGGCAGCCAGTGGGATGGTACCGCAAGTACAGACCAGCTGTAAGAGTTACAGGAACCAGTGGGACGTTACCGCCAGTACAGACTAGCTGTAAGAGTAACAGGAACCAGTGTGTCGTTACAGCAAGTACAGACTAGTTGTCCAAGTATCAGCAACCAATGGGATGTTACCGCAAGTACAGCTAGTTGTACGTTACATCAACCAGTGGGATCTTCGAGTTACAGCAACCAGTGAGATCTTCCCGCAAGTACAGACAAGCTGTAAGAGTTACAGAAACCTGTGGGATGTTACCGCAAGTACAGCCTTGCTGTAAGAGTTACAGGAGCCAGTGGGACGTTACAGCTAGTACAGACTAGCTGTTCGAGTTACAGCAGCCAGTGGGATGGTACCGCTAGTACATATTAGCTGTACGAGTTACAGTAACCAGTGGGAAGTTACCGCTAGTACAGAAGTTGTACGAGTTACAAGAACCAGTGGGACGTAACCGCCAGTACAGACTAGTTGTAAGAGTAACAGGAACCACAGACTAGCTGTAATAGTAACAGGAACCAGCGGGATGTTACCGCTAGGTAAGAGTTACAGCAACCCGTTGAATGTTACCGTTAGTACAAACTCGTTGTATGAGTTACAGGAACCAGTAGGACATTGCCGCTAGTACAGACTTGTGAAAGTAACAGGAACCAGCGGGATGTTACCGCCAGTACAGAATAGTTGTACGTTACATCAACCAGTGGGATCTTACCGCAAGTACAGCTAGTTGTACGTTACATCAACCAGTGGGATGTTACCTCAAGTACAAGTACAGACTAGTTGTATGAGTTACAGCAACCAGTGAGATCTTCCCGCAAGTACAGACCAGCTGTAAGGGTTACAGGAACCAGTGTGTCGTTACAGCAAGTACAGACTAGCTTTTAGACTTACAGGAACCAGTGTGTTCTTACCTCTAGTACAGACTAGTTGTTAGAGTAACAGGAGTTGTAAGAGTTACAGCAACCCGTTGAATGTTACCGTTAGTACAAACTCGTTGTATGAGTTACAGCAACCAGTGAGATCTTCCCGCAAGTACAGACTTGTAGTAAGAGTAAAAGGAACCAGTTGGATGTTACCGCAAGTAAAGACTAACTGTAAGAGTTAAAATAATCAGATGGATGTTACAGCAAGTACAGACTTGTAGTAAGAGTAAAAGGAACCAGTTGGATGTTACCGTTAGTACAAACTCGTTGTATGAGTTACAGCAACCAGTGAGATCTTCCCGCAAGTACAGACAAGCTGTAAGAGTTACAGAAACCTGTGGGATGTTACCGCAAGTAAAGACTAACTGTAAGAGTTACAGGAACTAGTGGGACGTTACCGCTAGTACACACTAGCTGTAAGAGTAACAGGAGCCAGTGGGACGTTACAGCTAGTACAGACTAGCTGTACGAGTCACAGCAACCAGTGGGATCTTCGAGTTACAGCAACCAGTGAGATCTTCCCGCAAGTACAGACAAGCTGTAAGAGTTACAGAAACCTGTGGGATGTTACCGCCAGTACAGAATAGTTGTACGTTACATCAACCAGTGGGATCTTACCGCAAGTACAGACCACCTGTAAGAGTTACAGTAATCAGTTGGAAGTTACTGCCAGTACAGACTATGTTACCGCAAGTAAAGACTAACTGTAAGAGTTAAAATAATCAGATGGATGTTACAGCAAGTACAGACTAGTTGTCCAAGTATCAGCAACCAATGGGATGTTACCGCAAGTACAGCCTTGCTGTAAGAGTTACAGGAACTAGTGGGACGTTACCGCTAGTACAAACTAGCTAGCTGTAAGAGTAAAAGGAACCAGTTGGATGTTACTGCTATAACAGACTAGTTGTACGTTACATCAACCAGTGGGATCTTCGAGTTACAGCAACCAGTGGGACGTTACCGCAAGTACAGACTAACTGTAAGAGTTAAAATAATCAGATGGATGTTACAGCAAGTACAGACTAGTTGTCCAAGTATCAGCAACCAATGGGATGTTACCGCAAGTAAAGACTAACTGTAAGAGTTACAGGAGCCAGTGGGACGTTACAGCTAGTACAGACTAGCTGTAAGAGAAACAGGAACCAGTGGGTCGTTACCGCTAGTACATACTAGTTGTACGACTTGTGTCGGTTCAGACACGGAGTACCACAACTTGTGTCGGTTCAGACACGGGTTACCACAACTTGTGTCGGTTCAGACAGGGTGTGGTTAATGAAGGTATCGTGATTTACATTAATTATATGTCATCCATGGACAGCAATGCATCAGTTAAGTGAACTATTCACTTGAGCCAATAAACATTTCTAACCAGGACACAACGAGTGTTTATTTTTAGCTGAATATCCTTATTTACCATTTACTTTCTTTTGACAGTGATCACGTGATCTCTTGTAAGTTATGTTTGCAGTTGCACGCATAAGTAACATTGTTATATTGTTTTCATACAAAGATGTGTCAAGAGATACAGAGACAACTCTTCAAAATATTGTTTTATTTGAAGACTATTGCTAATGTTGGGTAAATCTCATCAATCAATGACACACCGTTTATGTTCATAACAAATTGTATTTATGTACCGAGGTGAAGATAAACTCAACATCACCGTACAGACGATGACATTCGGAGAACGGTCTACATCCTTAGTTGTATGGCTTTTTCGGACTCAAAACATCGTCCGTTCTATAGGCAGCATAACACATCCTTGTTGATATCACGTGATAAACTTGTAAAAAAAAGTTAAGGCTTCTTGTGTCTTGATTTCTTAAAACATAAAGAAACAGAACTTTCCCATCATTGTTTGAGTAATACTTTTGTTCATTTGGTGATATTCTGTTTTTTTCAGTTGACGTTGGTGGTGCTATAGTATTCGGCCAACCTGATGACGTTGACGAAGCCAGATCGAGGCTGGGCATGGGTCGTCATGTTCGCCGCTTGTGTAGCGCAAGGCCTACAGAGCGGCATCTGCTACACAGTCGGAATAATTCAAGTAGCCTTGCAGAAGAGGTTCAACAGTAGTGTAGCTTTCACGTCGTGGGCTAATGGAATCTTTATATTCTTTATATCCTCAGCGGGTAGTATTGTTTTTATATGTATATAAAGATATTATTATATGTTGATAATAATCAATATGACAAAATTATATCGTATTACTCAAATGAATAGCATTTCCGTCCCGATCATAATTATAGTCTTTCAAATTTCAAAATAGAAAGTTTCATTAAAATCATTTCACCAACAAAAAGTATGTGAAGTGAAGTCAAACTGAAGCCATGTGTCATATAAAATCTTTACTTTATAGACAAACGATAGACTTTTTAAACAATCGCATCATTTCAAGACCAACTGGTCCCTTTGTCAAGCTCTCAAGGTCTTGAAACGTTGAGACACGTCTGCCACGTATATTCATAGTTTTCATATTTCCAAACTGACGAAGAAAGAATAAATGTGTCGAGTATTATTTTTAGAGGGAAGCCACTGTATACTAATAGAAGCCCATATATTACAGAAAATCCAATGTAGTGTCAATGTGAAAATTGTGATAGTAAATAGTTCCTTAATCACAAAACTGTCAAACTCTTTTTGCTTGGCTTGTATACCATGGATACCTGATACAGAAATATGTTTGTAGTTAAAGTAATATTAATCTGGCTTTATTTACACTAATTACCGAGCTATATTATATTTACTGACGTAGGTGTGATCGGAAGCGTCATTATCAGCAGATACAATTGTCGCACGGCGTTACTGGTGGGTTCGGCGATGATGACGTCAGGTCTGGCTGCGAGTGCTGTTGTGGAGTCTATAGAGCTAATCTTTGTGACGTATGGCGTCATTACAGGTGCGTTAAAACAGTTATTGGCATGGCATAGAGTGGATGTGTCGGAATACTGTGTAAATATAGGTAATATATGACGTACACACTATGTAAGTTAGTTCAGATACGTTATCTATATGATATAGGAAAATTTACAGTTTAGTCGAAAGAACATAGCCTACACACAGCTTAATTACGGATAGGTCCATAGATCTTATACCACGGCTACATCAGATAAAGAACACAAATCAGACCCTATCTATGGATACCTGACGCATAAAAGTGTTGTAACATCACAAAGCGTGTTGCTGATTCTCGGAGAAAAGATCCTTGTGATTTTGATGAATGCAAATATGAAAAAAACCCATATATGTTTACTTTACAAAGAAGAACGAAAGGCTTACGATAATTTAGATAGCGGTAAAACTTGTAATGTTTTTGTTACAACACCTGAATATTAGTTTACTATAGAAACAGATATCCATACATGACCGGTTTGCACTGTCATTGTATCTTATCTAGCACCAGCACCATCAGTTTCTTAAAACGGAACTATAACCGGCATCACGATGCTGCATCGAAGATAAATTTTGAGAATGTGGACAATAAACGTGAAGTCCTTGATGGAAGACACAAACAGATTTGCATGATTTATTGAAATAAATTTCCCTATTTACAAGGTGTCGGCGCCGGTATAGTGTACACGGCTACCGTGGTAGTCGTGGGTCTGAACTTCGAAGAGAAAAGGAGTATGGCGACTGGTGTAGCAGCGAGCGGGGCCGGCGTTGGTATATTTATTTTCCCGCCATTATTTCAGCTAGCACGGAGTAACTACGGTGACAAAGGTTTCTTTTTAATAATGGCATGTGTTGCTTTAAACATCAGTGTATTTGGATGCCTTTGTTTTCCGACCACACTTGAGAAAAACAATCAGACATGTGCATTAAATTCATCTTCAAAGTATCTATCGAGAAGTAAACGTATTTGTAATCGATTTCATTTGTTTCGTCATGTGCCTTTCCTATGCATTTGCCTGAGTTTGTTAGCTAGTCACCTCGGAATTAATTTGATCTATGTACACCTCACGAATTATTCAATATCGAGGGGATCGACTGATATCCAGGCGTCACTTCTAACCTCTGTTATCGGCTTCACAGGAAGTCTAGGGAGACTTTGTATCGGATTCACTGGAAATGTAGACAATATCTATAACATGGTGCTATATTTTGGTACATTTGGAATGCTCGGGACAGCAACAGTACTGTTTCAACTGTACAGTGCTACCTATACAGGACAGATGATATATGCCGTTCTTTTCGGAACCTACTCCGGTTGTTGTTATGTTTTACTAAACAGCATTACTCCAGAACTAGTGGGAGTCAACAACCTGGCACTGGCCATCGGGATCGAGATGCTCTTCGCTGGAATAGGTAGCTTAATAGGAGCCCTTATGGCAGGGACGTCGCTTAGGAGCTGTAATAAAAAAAAAAAAAAAGTTTATATTTTCCTTGGTCTTCATGACGTTGCGTTACTTTATTAGTTGTTTCGTATTTCAAATCCAAGTAGCTGCGCCTTGTTCATAGGGACGCACACTTTATTTGTTATGAATCTAGTTTATTTATGAAAGCGTAAATATCTTTTTTATTTGTGTAGATTGTTTGTGCAACCGTATATTACATGTGTTATTAGTGTAGCTTGTTTTTGAAACCGTATACTACATGTGTTATAAGTTAAGCTTGTTTGAGAAACCGTATACTACATGTGTTATTAGGGTAGCTTGTTTGTGAAACCGTATACGACATATGTTGTAAGTGTAGCTTGTTTGTGAAACCGTATACTACAGTGTTATAAGTGTAGATTGTCTGTGAAACCGTATACTACATGTGTTATAAGTGTAGCTTGTTTGTGAAACCGTATACGACATATGTTGTAAGTGTAGCTTGTTTGTGAAACCGTATACTACATGTGTTATTAGGGTAGCTTGTTTGTGAAACCGTATACGACATGTGTTATTAGTGTAGCTTGTTTTTGAAACCGTATACTACATGTGTTATAAGTGTAGCTTGTTTGTGAAACCGTATACTACAGTGTTATAAGTGTAGATTGTCTGTGAAACCGTATACTACATGTGTTATTAGGGTAGCTTGTTTGTGAAACCGTATACGACATGTGTTATTAGTGTAGCTTGTTTTTGAAACCGTATACTACATGTGTTATAAGTGTAGATTGTCTGTGAAACCGTATACTACATGTGTTATAAGTGTAGATTGTCTGTGAAACCGTATACTACATGTGTTATTAGGGTAGCTTGTTTGTGAAACCGTATACGACATGTGTTATTAGTGTAGCTTGTTTTTGAAACCGTATACTACATGTGTTATAAGTTAAGCTTGTTTGAGAAACCGTATACTACATGTGTTATTAGTTTAGCTTGTTTGTGAAACCGTATACGACATATGTTGTAAGTGTAGCTTGTTTGTGAAACCGTATACGACATGTGTTATTAGTGTAGCTTGTTTTTGAAACCGTATACTACATGTGTTATAAGTTAAGCTTGTTTGAGAAACCGTATACTACATGTGTTATTAGTGTAGCTTGTTTGTGAAACCGGATACTACATGTGTTATTAGTGTAGCTTGTTTTTGAAACCGTATACTACATGTGTTATAAGTGTAGATTGACTGTGAAACCGTATACTACATGTGTTATTAGTGTAGCTTGTTTGTGAAACCGTATACGACATGTTTTATAAGTGTAGCTTGTTTGTGAAGATTCGTGATACTCAGCATCCCGATTATAGTTTTGCATAACATTGTCTACACATTAAACGATCATGGTATCTCATAGGAAAACATTTACACTGCTCATTGACGGATGAAACTATTTTTCTATTCTTTTACATTATGTACTTCACTGCATAACGTGTATGTTTTGTATACTTTGCATTTTTTTTTTTTATATATAATTATAATTTTGCAATATGTTCTTATAGGTGTTATCGTTGATAATGGAGGAACATACGAAAGTGCATTCACACTGGCTGGTAAATATCTGAAATTTTAACAGTAGCACGTGGTACCTAAATAATTTGTTATGACTTGTTTAATTATTGTGACGGAGGGATATATTTACATATGGATATATTTACATATGGATATATTTACGTAATATGTAAATATTTTGAAATATATATTACGTTTTTACTATTGTAGGTTTCTCTGTCCTTATGGCTGCGGTATTTGTACTATCCGCGGAGGCCTTCCGCTACAATAGTCAGCCGGAGAAGAAACACAATTCCCCTGAAGAAGAAGCCTTTAACATAGACGACACGAAATGTAATACCGAACGCAATGTTTCAATTCTATCTGTTATACATACACAACCACCATTAAAACCGTAATAATTCTATGTGTTGTGTTATTTTTATTCATTTGTATTGATGTTTTTATGGTAATGACAACAACAAGATTCAACCGATATTTGTAGACAGAAATGGGTTACATGACGTATTTATCTTCAGTGGATTAAGGCGAGGACTGTATTTACAACCTTTTGTTTGTATTTGCCACTCGCAGCTTTAGAGCTGAATTCTATGTTTAGTTTTCTTCTTGTTTTGTTACCAAAGATTAACTGCAATCTAAGCCTGATGTATTTAAGATGTTTTTATCATATTATTCAATATTTCTTTTTACGGCCCTTATATAGTTAAACTGACCAAAAAAGATGGTTTCAGCCCATAACCGTATAACATGTTTATTTGGCTGATTTGCGAACAGTCAAAACTATTGTCCATGGGTGCTGAGAAAGACACGGAGTACTGTTTCCTGAAGCCGCTAGACCGATGACAAATTTTCTAAGTCATTCTCTTAAAGTGCCCCTATGTAGGGCAGGGGTTCATGACTCATTATCTAACCAAACAACGACCAGCGGTTTCTTCCTAGTCGTCCCTACGACTCGAGCCAGCATCCGACGTGTTGTGGTCTTTTTCCTTTAGTGTCTCAGTGGATGACCGATTAAGTCAAGGCGGTCTCTTCTCGTGGCGAATAACATCACTCTACCTTATCGTAAAATTACACTGTCATCAGTAAACTTAAATCCCTTGAACAACGTATGAATCCACATTTTAGGAGATATGCGTGAAACTACTCATTATCAGCAATACGGGAAAACCACATGGGAGGTACTTTCAACGCTGCAATCATTGTTTATAAAAATACAAACAAACATCAATAATTCTTTGACAAACTATCGCCTATCTTAACTTTTGTACTGTAACGTATGTCCCTTTCTTCCATTAAGATACAGAATGTCAAAAGAATGAGCATTTAAGATCCAAACTACTAGGCTATGGCCAACCTCTGGGAATGATAATCGCCAGTGCAGCCGAACAGCTAGTGAGGAAATATATACACAACGTTAATTTTCAGTTCTGATCTGCAAACGACCTCCGTTAGCAGAACAACCGGAGTCGAGACTTCTAAATATGTGCTGAAATAATAAATTGTTGTTTGTCGTTTTGACAAGTAACGTGTTGACCGTGTTACATCATTTAAGTGAGTTACAAGAAAGATGATTTGGGTGCAGAATGCATGCTAGAACATAAGAATGGCTTCAGGAATACGGGCTCTGTGTCAAAGTGGCATTTTTAACATGACAGTCTCTTCAATTCATCTGGATACTTGCTTTGTTACACAAACTTCACACCCGTAGCAATTTTGCTTTGATCTTTAGAAGCTTTCTGAGTGAACTGTTGTCTGTCAAAACAGTAACATTTCTCCGTTAAGATAACGTCAGAAATATTTTTGATTTTCACGATTGCCAGAACATATTAACCAGTAAGTAAATACTTTCCCTCTTAATACATATTGTACAGTTAACAGTTATGGGCCGCTCCTATTCCGTTACTTTTGCGACATCCCTGCTCCGATATTATAATGACTTATGTCTGTTTCGATGATGCTTTCTTACTTAAACACAAGGTGGCTCCAAACAGACAAACTTGTTGCGCTTGTTATTTTTTCGGCGTCTCAAAAGCCTGTTGACATTTGTCTGGCACGTCAAATATTTGTCTGCTTTCTGTCAGATTGTGTTGGCACTGTTCATTGATACGGTCTCACAGGTGAGGAATGGCATACAGAACAAGTGCTCTGACAATGAATACTCCATCTTTAAAAAATATCTAGTCTCCCAACTGAAAATACACTTCTTTTGACCTTTTTTACTCTCTGGTGTATACCTTGAGCATAGACTTCAGTGTAAAACGGGAATGGTTACTTTCTCCGCAGTTAAAAATCGGTAATACTCTCTTTACACCATCAATCAGAAAAAATATCTTTCTCAAAATCAAGAGACCCCGCCCCCCTTTCTCAACATGATGTCGAGCGATAGACTATCGATATTAATTGATCCACAGGTAAAACTCCTTTTGAGACAGTATAATCACTTAACACTCCGCCTCACATTGATTACTACTAACGTCAGTCAAAAATACACAGCAGGATGACAAAAATCTCCGAAAAACAAATAAAGATGCTTATATAAAATCATTATATATCGCTTAAAGTTTCAAACCACACGAGGCTTCCAGACCGGCTTTGTTTTAACAACAAGTATATTGTTCAAGTTAATACGGGAGTTAAGAAAATCTGAGATCCCGTCAGGATGGTATGGTTAACTCAATGTCTCAAAACACTTGCAGCATATCTATACCAACAAGGGACGAACATGCCCACAATTTGAGTGATGATGTTCACATATGCTACAAAGGACAATTTTGTATTGGCAAAATATCGTGAGAAACGTGTTCAATATTGGTTTGTGTTAGAAACAATAATCTCTAGAGGAATTGTCCCCATCTTATTTAGCAGTAATTTAATATAGACGCAATAAAATGCTGGTAATAGCCCGTTGAGCGATATGTTTGTACCCAACTGGAACGCCAAATGTGTTTTGTAATGTTGACGAATCGTGTCATGCATCCCTATTTAAAAAATGTCCATATATGATGTTATGGCAGTTGATACAAATTTATTAATCTAAACGTTTAAAATGCGAATAAGATTTGATCTAAATACGTCATAGTCAGCAGGAGGTCTGAGGCGATGAACGAAATAGGTAAAGTCAATACATGGCATGGCAGGGTATCGTGAATTACACGTAACGAGCGCGACACGATTGTAAATTAGGCAGTCGCGCCACTATTGTACACCGGACTGATTGTATTCAAACGAATCAGTTACATCCTATTTCCAAACGTGAAGATGTATTGACAGATCGTGTGGAGGAAGCCATCACATATTGACTATTACTCGGCGACCTACACGCCTCGCCTGTCTAGGTTTAGCCAAGGACATCTATATACAGTACACAACATACGTTATACGGAATTTGAAATACAAACAATGTTCTAAAGCATTGCAATGTCTTGTCATGTAATCCTACGTTCTCGTGATAATCATCTATGAAATCACAATACAATCCCAGATAAGATAACAGAGGTATTCCGACATGCAACAAAAGGCATCTTTGACAGAATCATACAAAGCTTAACTTTGAAGGCCTGTGTGGTGTGAAATAAATTGTATGTTCTACTTTGCTTAATCCGTGTCTCGGTCTGACATTAATCCGTGTCTCGGTCTGACGTTAATCCATGTCTCGGTCTGACATTTCGTCCTATACATACGCACCTTTATTCTGAAATAATATCGTATAAGGAAATATCAGTAAATGATTTACACATCATAGAGACCATAACATTTGTCTGTGGTCTTCATCAATCTGCATCCCTCAAAACTCGGTGTTGTAAGTTTGTCCATTAGTGATCGTCAGATATTACAGAGGTTGTGATACTGTTAGTAAGACCTTTACATTGTGGCAAATACGACCTGTAAACAACGTAGATTGGTGAGCAAACAATGTGACCATCAAAAACGGAAAAGATCACCATCGAAATCGTCGTATCAAATAGCTTAGTAGTTAGCCGTCCATGTTGATCATGCTGCAAGGATCGTGATCCTGTTAGGCTGCTGAGTTGATTGCAGATTCAACATGGTAAAGTATTGATCGATCGGTCAAAAATTTATGCAATGTACTTTGATGGGGTTTTTTAATTTTAGTATTGTTTCTGAGAAATGTTCATTCTATGAAATATCAAATGCCAGATAATATTAAACATATGATCATTACAATTCAGGTTATTGTGGTTTTGATAAATATGCTACATGTATCTGTAGAATATTAATTAGTTAAAATGTCCCTTTATTTAAAATTCAATCTCGTGTATATTGCTTTTGATGAATTATAGAACTTAATAATGTATACTGCAACAAAATAAGAGGTGGTTACATCAGACAGGAATTTTGATTTAGTTGCTATTTAATAGAGTCAGTGTCTAGTTAAATCTAGATGTGTTTCTGAAGTGGATTGCTACAGTATGAAGACTTTTCCCATGGTATTTTTAGCTTCAAAATAAATCTTGAATTCCTCTGAAGTGCTACAAATCCACATAGATTGATTTTATCAGGTTTGCTGTGGGAAGCTTTCGCACATTTCAATGACAGTATTTAATAATCAATCAAAGACTTTTGTCCAAGAACAATTCATAACCTACACAGCGGAAATATCGTGAAGGCAGTGAACGGAATCTGTCCCCATTAACGCAACATAAGTTCCTAAAACATATTTATATTCTAGATTTTAAGACCAGATTGCAAACTTTACACTCTTGACTTTCGCTCATGTTAGCAATCATTTCTTAAACAGTATATAAAATAATCGTTTGCTCTAAACATCGACATCCTTACACAATCTCTGTTTGAGTCAAGTGTAACATCTGGTTACAAAACAAGTAGTGTTTGCCATCTGTTGAAGAAACTTGGTTTAATAGAAAGGAAATGAAATACCAACCTATGTAAAATTAGTTTTTCTTGTAAACATGAAATATTGAGAAACACATTGACCTGTGACAGCACTCGTTTAAAAGTTCTACAATCGATACCATAGATCATTCCCTGTAAGTGTCCTGAACATGCGCATGTTATGTCTGCCGAATGGCGGGAAGCAACAAGTGGCAGTGGACAACGCTGTATAATTAACTTTGACTTTGATGTTCTGCAAGGGTCTGTACAGGACCAGGAATTTACTGTCGATATTCAAAAGGAATATATATATATATATAAAATAGAACAAAAGACAGAGATAGCGTCGTTCTCGGGTTGATTATATCTGTCTTTTGTTCTATTTTTTATAATTATCTGTCTTTTGTTCTATTTTTTATAATTATCTGTCTTTTGTTCTATTTTTTATAATTATCTGTCTTTTGTTCTATTTTTTATATTTATCTGTCTTTTGTTCTATTTTTTATATTTATCTGTCTTTTGTTCTATTTTTTATANAACATGC